GAGTCGTACGTCAGTCTTTTGTCACGCGATCACGCTTTAGCCCATGTAGGGGCGCAAGAACCGGGGTCAGGCGATGAATGGAAGGCGGTCGATTTGGTCTGGAGATGACGTAGCTTCCACCGCACCAGCAGCCGAGGCGTGAGCGGAGCGTATAGGTGCCTGCACACTCGGTATTCCTTCTCGGCACGAAGGAGAGCATTATGAGGACAGCTCGGGTGACGATGGGGAAAGTGAGCGTAGATGAGATTTCGAATTCGGACTGGGCGACCGCTCTAGCTAGCTCCTTGAACGGTACTGCCTTAAGCGTAGTTGGGGACGTTCTTGAGCTATTTTATTTTGTTTCTGCGATTAACGCGTTTTACGATGGCGAGATTGTATAAGCAAGTACCGCATCTAATGTGCTTCTTTTTTTTTTTTGTCACTCGCCTTCTCGTTGACCGGCACAGGTCTAGTGAGAACTTCGCCATTTGTATTTCTAATGTTTATGAATGAAGTGTCGAAATAAGGGGCTGCAGAATTCCATACAATTCGAAAGACGAATAATTACCGCGGCACCTTTTATTTCGTACAACAATTTACTTTAACAACTTGCGAAGATATGCAATGTTTGGAACTCCAGAGTAGGCAACGCCACCCAATTGAGAATACGTAATAGAAAGAAGCCGGGGAGCTGGCGCCTATCCCAGTGTGCGGTAAAAACAGGCGTTGCTTTTCGAGCAAAATGTGAGCCATTAACAAAAATAATTAATACAGGCCATTGAGCTGTGGACAGCCTGGCTGCCACCACGTCTAGACATACATACGAACAAACTAGACATACTCATTTTGACTAGCGCAACCTGAACTTCTCAATGAAAAGACAAATGGCGCAGCTCAGAGTCACAATCTTATCTGAACCAGAAAGGTGAATGTCAATCACCTTCGCTACAGTCGGAGACAGGTTAAGACTAAAAAGGGCAGAGGTGGGAAGAGCTTCCACTTCACTCTTAACCAGCCAAAGGCTATAGAATATCTTGTTTTCTTCTAAATTCTTAGTAGATATTTTTTTTTTTGAGTAGCGAGCCGGCGTTTGGGGGTTTGTCTGTTAAGTACAGACGAAGGGCAGCCCCGTATGCCTCCCCCCCCTCAGAAGAGGTTGGCGTGGTGCCGTTATATGAGGTTTTAGTGCATTTTATGCCCCATAATAGCGATAATCAAAAAAGAATCGTAGGAAAAAAAGACTGTAAACAGTTGCAAGCATGGCGGCCCGACTGGTGCCCCATACCACAGCCTCCTCTGTACTCACAAAGCCTGGCAGTTGGACGACGGAACCATAGAGTGGCCGGTCGCAGATTTGGAGCCCGAGGGTCTGGTACGACAGAGCATTTCTCGGGGAGTCTGGTATTCAGCGCACAGCTTTTGCAGTGGCGAGGACCCGAAACATGGTTTTTAAACCCGACGAGAAAAGAAGCGGTAGTCCGAGGAACGCGAGAAACAGGAGCGGACATTCCATCGGTCGGGACAAGTGTGTTTCGGCGTCTCGCCGCAGCGGGGCGTCTATTACATGACTTTTGTCTGCCACTCTACCTTTTCGCTTTCGGCGGCCGCGTCTCGTGGGGATCTGCCAGGCTTTGTCAGTAGAGAGGAGACTATGCCCATACATACAAACAGGTGAAACGTGCGCGTGGACGAATCGTTGGCAAGCTTGCAATTGTGCGGGCATGCTCGCACGAGCGGAGACATACGGCAGCTTTCAGTCACTCTACTTGCAATCGTCTGCATACGCGCTAAGATAGGTTCTGACAATGTTGATCTTGCGGGACGGTGCTCTCCGAGAATGGCGACAACGGATACCAAAGCCAGGAAAGAAGCTAGAGTACGCATGAGCGAGAAATATTTGCAGCGACCTTTCTCTCCCCAGCTCGGCAATGCATGAAATCCAGTACTTGAGAAGCGAGTGTTTAAATTTGTTCAGAAGACACGAAAGAGTCGTTTTGGGGAGAGAAGAAACTATACATCTATTAATTTCCCCGCCGAATTTAGCGGTGAGACTGAATTGGTGTATAGGACACGTGACGTCAATTTTTCAACTAAATTTAGCGGGGAAACTAAATTAGTCCATAGGTCTCGTGACGTCCGGTCACGTGTCGTCAATTCTCCCGCTAAATTTAGTGGGGAAACTGAATTGTGTATAAGTGTCGTGACATTAACTTCCCCGCTAAATTTAGCGGAAAATGGACAGACGGACGGACAACACTTTTTATGATTGTGGGGGGGGGGGGGGGGGGGGTTCGTTAAAAAGCATTTCATGCTTTCAAAAGACCACTGGGCTCTTTATCAGCCCGTTAAGTGACCCGCATGTTTCGGACACTGTCGCCGTTGAGTCACAGTGGGGCGACGATACGGCACCTTCGACGTCCGCCGGCACTGGAATGAAAACCAGGAGAGCGTCACCACTCGGTTTCACTTCCGAGATGACCCCTTCTAACCCCGTAGCGACAAGTCGATCGTTTGCGTCGCCGTGGACGTCAGAGAAATGGACGCGCGCAGGAAATGACACCAGCCAACGTTGACAGAGCGCGCGCTTCTCGGGTGCCAGTGGAGGTGCGCCGGAAGTCGCCGGAGAAGTCGGGGGAAAGGGGAGGTTCACTTCCGGTCGTTCCTGCTCCCTATTTGTAACTCCCGAGGGGCGGGAGGGGGGACCGGACACTCGTTCCCGAAACTCTTCGCAGACGACGTGGCTGAGCGGTCGCCGGGGAATGTCGTTGCTCGCCTCGAGATCGCGCGAGGATAGAACGACGACTCACGAATACACGGCACTTTTGCCTGTAACGCGATACTAGTAACGGCGCTACCGGTAACGCCTTACTGTTTCTTTTTTTCGGAAACGTAGCAACATATTCGGGAAACTTTGAAGACAGTAACCGATAACGGACTTACAATACTTATTTCGAATAACGGGAAACGTAGTTACGTTATTCGTTACAGATCTTCCCTATAGACTTAAAGGAAATCGCACTTCAATTCGCTTGGTGTTTCTAGGCGCCGAGTAATATGAATCCTTACACTCGTTCCACATAGTATCATACCTTCAAACTTCTTTCTTAAAATGTGGTGTCTATGCGCATATGTAACATTAAACAATAACACGTTTTAATACATGTAGATAGAAAGCAACGTGCGTTACGTTTTATCACTAACGGTAACGCAACGCTCCTTTCATTTTGAAGTACGTTGGTATAGCGTTCATTGTATTCGCAATTAACGAGTAACGTATTTCGTTATACTGGTCCGCGTTCGCGTACTTTGTTTCACCTTAGAGGGTGAACCGCAGTGGATGCTACGAGCCATCGGAGCCAATCCAATGCCTTGTGAGAGTCACGTGACACTCGGGAGCGGCGCACTGTGATGCGTTCACAGTGCTATATTAGCTGGGATGGCCCGCAGCTTCCGCTGTGATCCACCCTAAGGAGAAACGCGAGAGGTTGTCGACACGCCGGTCATTTCATCCGGGGCAATTCGCCCACGAGACGCGGCAGTTGGTTGGCCATGGGAAGCGCAGGACTGTTGATCAAGGTGCGAGATACAGGCGCCAAGGGACGAGCAGTATGCGAGGCTTAAGACACCTCTCCGCTCGAAGGCATTTGGTCTTTCCGTAAATTGGGTGTAGAACACTGGCCTTCCATTAACAGTTGAAGCGTGTACAACGACAACTAGTCTGCCATCAAACGCGCAGAATAACGCGCCGCTTTGATTCGGATGAAGAAACAAAATTACAAAACACTGTTAACGGAATAACTAAAAAAAGCATCATTGCGGTTCTGCATTCATTGCGCGGTAGTTACTTGAATATGTCACCGATATTTCCTTTGTGATTCGGAGGACTAAAACCCCCTGATTTTACAACCATTGCGTGTCATGAACTATCTCGACATTTTTGTGGACCAAAAAAAAAACGGGAAGATTCGTGTTTGGTGCTCCGAATAACAGTTATCTGATCCGCGAGCTGTTATTGATTGATAAGCACCGAGGCATTAATCGCAGCATTTTCATCCCCTTGAGAGGAAATCAAAATTCAACCTTCACTAGTGCGACGCTAAAGTAATAAACTAATCTCGTGAACATTCAATCATACATAATGTCTACCACGCATGGTGCGGTTTCCCCGCCACTTCGCAGCCTCGCAGCCCGACTGCGCGAGATAATGTGAAACGAGCGAATATTTTCGCAGCGGCAAAACAGAGGGACGTCCGGATCTCCGGGGCCGCGCCGTCCTTCCCAGCTCATTTATCACTTCCCGTTCGCACGAGTCCGTGAAAACCGGCGCTCTTTCCGGCGAAGATTAGCGCGCGCACACAGTCGCACGCGGGCTTATCGCAAGCAGAGACGACCTGGGTCTCGCAGTGAGGGTGACGGAAGCAGCCAGGGTCCGAGTACCGGTGGCAGTAGGGCACGCGGGAGAGTGAGGACGATATATTCTGCAGAACGACAGACACTAAGCCCGACCCGCAGCCGCACTCGCAGTGCCTGATGTAACAAACGTGCTTCGTGCACTCGCACTGCAAGAGATACTGGGAATGGTCAACGCTCGAATCGAGAATGGCACGACGAGCGCGTTTGTCGCGGTTGTAACGGTCGAGTATGAATTAGAAAGAAGACTCGTTCTACAGTCGCCGAAAATAATTTGCTTCAAAAGCGACTACTGGAAGTCTTACAGTGGTGCCCACAGGACGACCACTGTATAGTCGCTGACAACTGAAGATACGCAGAGCATGCCTCATGATGCTTACGCTTCTCGCTCTGTGATTGGTTCTTCAGTGTTCTTGTTGGCCAATGCCTCAATCTGATTGGCTGTGGAACGATAATGAGATGCTCAGTAGTCGACACACCCTGCGTTCCTTAAGCCGTCGGTGACTATAGAAATAACGCACCGATTTCTTTTTATATAAATACAGCGAAAAAAAGTGCTTCGCTCATACCTAGAAACAAGAATATTAACAGAAAGTGAACTATACATAGACCTAGAGTAACCAAAATGGACACGGACCTTTGTCGTCGATGGAGAACACTCCGACGCCGTCCCCGTCCACGATGGCGTAGGTGAGCTTGCCGTCGTTGCCCGTCTTGTCATCATCCACGGCACTGAGCGTCGTCACTAGAGTGTCTCGCGGCTGGTTTTCGGCAACACTGGCGTTGGCCACCTGCAGAAACGAATTCCTCGCCAGGTCCATAAAGCTACAGCCAGGAACGAGAACTAGAGACGCCGAATGAGCCTACGTAGAGTTCTCGGCACACTTTTCCCCGGTTGTCTTGCGGGCGCCGCCATTTCGTTACCTAGTGCAGACCGGGCGCGCAAGAGGCGGTAGTTACTACTTGCGAACCTGACTTTCTAAGGTTTATGTACGGTACCAGAAAGCTCCGGAGATATCGATTTGCTCGGTCGGGGACTGTTGTAGCGTTTCGGCAAGACGGAAAAGTGTTAATTTGGGTCTCAGACAACTGGCACAACTGGCAACAAGATAGCTAAAGCGTTTTAACTTTGAAGCAGCTTAATCAGCAGCTCAAATATTTTCAAAGCACGGCGGAAAGCGAGGAGCGAGTGCCGGAGGTAGAGCGTCCGAAAGACACGCCTTGCCGCTTTAATTTTTTATAAGCGACTATAATTATTCTCCATGGAACTTCGAGTGCTCACCTGATCGGGGAAGACGGGGGCGTGCAGGTTCTCGTTGACGTCCTCGATCTCGACGATGAGCGTGGAGACCGCTGTGAGTGGAGGTTCTCCACCGTCCGTGGCTCGCACGGTCACGTTGTACAACCGACAGGTCTCGAAGTCCAGAGGCGCACTGAGTCTCACCGTGCCCATATCGGGGTCGACGTCGAAGATATCTCCGTGGTCGCCGTCCACCTTGTAAGTAACCTTTCCCCCGTCCCCAAAGTCGGGGTCTATCGCCGACATGGAGGTCACAACCGAGCCGAGCGGCAGGTCTTCCCGTATTCGAGCCACGTATTGCAGTAACGTGAACTTGGGCGTGTTATCGTTCACGTCACGCAGTCTAATGGTCACCGTGGCCGTAGACGTCAGGGGCGCCAAGAGCGCTCCGTCGATGACCTTCACGACGAGATCGTACCTCTCCTGGCGCTCCCGGTCTAACCGTGCGTTGACAGTGAGCAGACCGGCGCTGGAGTCCAGCTGGAAGTCTGAAGTGTCCGTGTCCAGTTGGAAGTGGATTTCGGCATTAACGCCTTCGTCCTTGTCAGTCGCCCTCAGTCTGGCGACTGAAGTGCCGTTAGCAACATCCTCGTTAATAACGAAGCTGTACGACGCCTTTTCGAACACGGGTGCATTGTCGTTGACGTCAACCACCTTGACAACGACGGTCTTCGACTCGGACTTGGACGGTTGGCCCAGGTCGTAGGCGGTGATATTGAGGACATAGGAAGGTGTGACTTCGCGGTCGAGAGGCGCGGACAGATGGAGGGAGCCCTGGTGCATGTCCATTCTGAAGCAGGAGTCCTCGTCGCCATTTGACACGACGTAGACAAGTCTTCCGTTGTAGCCGTGATCCAGGTCCTTGGCTTCAAGGTAGGCCAGAACGGAGCCCACCGGCAGGCTCTCGTTGACTGCCACTTCGTGCGGCGAGCCCTCGGGGAACTCCGGGGAATGTCGGTTCTCTAAGAAGCTAGGTGCCGTCGGTTCCACGCGGTCCAGGAGGACGGCGCTGCCTCGCGGGTTGTTTCGCTCGGCTGCACGCAACTGGTCGCGCAGCTTCTCGGTGACACCGACATCCCTGCATTCCGCCGAGGCCCTCCGGCTTCCGACAACGCGGACAACTACCGTCATCACGTCGGCAAAATGACGTCCATCCGTCGCAGTCACGTTGAACGACCTCTCCTTGCTGCCGCCTTTCTGATTCAGGTCGCACGCGAGGGTCACCACTCCCGTGCCCGAATCCAACTGAAAGCAGCTGTCTTCGCCGGCCGTTTCCATCTTGTACGTCACGGAACCGGTGCCTCCCTCGTCGAAGTCGATCGCAGACAAGGTCAGAATCTCCGTTCCTATGGCGGCCTTTTTCGGTACCGTGGCGACACAGTCCACTTTTTCGAACTGGGGCCTGTGATCGTTGACGTCCCTCAGCCTCACCTTGAGGGCCATCTCCGCTTGACGCTGGTATGGAACGCCCCAGTCCGTGGCACGGATGCGAAGAACGTAACTTTTCCTCATCGTTTCGAAGTCCAGGACTTCCGTTGTGCGCACTTCGCCACTAAAGGGATCTACACTGAAGGGGACCTTGTTCAAGTTCACAAGGCTGTAACTGACGTAACCGTTTTCTGCTTCGTCCTCGTCGACGGCGTGAACTGTGAATACATTGCTTCCGACCGGTTTATTTTCATCGATTAGAATGTCAACGGAGCTTTGATTAAAAGCGGGAGCGTTGTCATTGCAGTCGAGGACTTTGACGTTGACGATTGTCGTGGTTTTCCGGCGCTGCCCACCGCCCCTCGCCGCCGCGTTTGTGGCGCTTACCGTCAACGAGTAGTAGCGCTTAAACTCGCGGTCTAACAAGCGCCGCGTGCTTATCTGGCCCGTCCTGACGTTGATGCTGAACGTCGCGTCATCGTCCCCCATCTCGATGTGGTATGCTATCCTTGTTGGAGACTCGGGACCGTAAACTTTAGCGACGACGCGAACTACGGGACTACCCGGGGGCGCGATCTCTTCGACATCGACGTCGTACTCTGACTTCTCGAACTGAGGCACCAGGTTGCTCATATCGGACAGTTTCGCCCTCACGACCTCGTCCGTGTACTGGGACGGCGTCCCTTGGTCCCAGGCCCTCAACGTTAGTGTGTATCCTCTAGGGTTCAGCGGCCTTCCTGGTCTAGGGTCTACCTCAATGTTGTATTCTCCGGGCTGGGCTCCAGAGACCACCTTGAAGTGATCGTCAACGTCCCCGTCAACGATGGCCAGACCTCCGATCTTACCGTGGACGCCGGGATCTTCGTCCGTGACCCTGACTACGGCCCAAACTTCGGGCATGCCGGGTTCAAGAAGGGTCTGAATATGTCGCACGAAGATGGCGGGCCTGTGCTTGTTAACGGGTAGGACGTGCACCGTCACCTTAGCCGTGCTGGACTTGATGATGCTGCCTGTTTCGAGTTCCGTCCCTCTGTCCTCGGCAACAACAGTCAACTCGTAGGTGCTATTCTTTTGGAAGTCGAGGGGCCTGGTCAGGGTTATGGTACCCATGGTCGGGTGGATGGCAAACTGACGCGTCGGTTCGAGGAGTCGGTAGTATATTTCGCCGTTGACTCCCAAGTCCGGGTCGTACGCGCTGAGCTTGAGCACACTCCGGTGTAATTGGGTGTCCTCGGGCACGCTGACGTTGTACGACGTCGGGTAGAATAGAGGGTTGAGGTCGTTGGTGTCTGTCACCTCCACCAGGACCTCACAGTGGACGTCGTAGAGCCTCTTGTGCTGGTGCGCGTAGAACACGGAGGCTTTCACCTTGAGGCGGTAGTTGTCTTCGGACTCACGGTTTAATACTGCTGTGTTCTCGGTCCGCGTCCGAATGAAAAGGAACCAGAAATCCCCGACGTGACGGGCCTCAACCTTGAAGCGCTTGTCCTTGTCACCTCCAGCGATCTTGTAGCGAATCTGCAAGACAAATCAGACGGGGTCTCATTCGCGAGATACTAGACGAAATTTAGCACACTGCTCTACAAGGTTCAGTCAAAATTGAGACAAGCGATTCAAACAACATTCGCCCTTTTCCGCGGAGTATGCTAGCGCACTGCAGCTCGGAGTAAAAGCTGGCACTGCAGAACTCGAATTTTCGGTTCCAAGCTTTCGTCCACCCGTTTCGGTCATGAGTATCATTACCGGCGTGCCGCCGTGTATCACTGCCGCCTGATGCACGTGAAAGACCCTAGGCTAGTAGACGTAGTACCCCGGCTGCTACTCTTAGCATGACCCATTGCCGCCATACTACGACGACGCTGTTGTGACCGCATTTTGCCGGTAATGACTTATAACTAGCACTCTAAAATAAAAAGGTAGTCACGCGCGATTTCCCGAGAGAAGGCGCTGCAGAAAGCTGATAATTGTTTCACAAAGAGGAATTTTATTCGAAACTCCAATTGTTCGCTTAATTTTTCGTTTAAGGATGATGGAACACAGGTGCGCAGCAAGGTAATCTGTGGGTCTCCATCGATAAGATAAGTGGCTATTACGCTTTTAGGGAAGCGAGCAGAAAGGATAAAGCAGGAAAAAGTTCATTAAAAGTTTTACTTGTCGCTTGCAACTCTCATATCAAAACTAATGATAAATTTTCCCTCGTAGAGTCGTATAAAATCTATGCGGTCCAGGCCTATCCGGTCCAGGCCTGTGCGGTTCAGGCATGTGCGGTCCAGGCCAGTCTTGGGCAGTAACTAGTTACAAGTAACGCGCGACCGGTAACTAGTTACTTTTTCAGTAACTTGTAACTGTAACTCGTTACTGTTTAGTGAAAGTAACTTGTAATTGTAACAGGGTTACTATTTTTTGGAAAGTAACTGTAAAGAATGGCGTTACTTCTCAGATTTATGTGCAAAAATATTGCAAATACGACCATCAAATCGCCTTGCAACTCGTGAGAGAGTCCCAAGTCCTGATACGGGAAGGGCACAGCTAAAACTGTTGCACAAACCGCCTGGACCACGAAATAAAAAATAAAAAAATAATAATAAAATACACTAAATTTTGGGAGACCCTGCTTGGCCAAGCTGACCCCGCCATCTGGGAGAATCGGGACGTTTGTGTCCGTACCCGCATGGTACGTAGCCCCTTAGCGCTCGCCGATGGAACAAAGCGCGACATCTCTAAAGTGTTTCTCTTTTCTTTGTCCGGCGGAGGGAGTGAGTGCTTTTTGCAGAGGACAGTTTTTTTGTGATTGTCGCCCCAAACTTCCGCAGGCTTAAAGGTGTAGGGAAACGAAATTCCAGCGCCAATTTTGGAGCTTTAATCTATGTTGCAGCATATCCTAAAAAAACACCAGGCTTTCGTTGAAAGGCACAAGCAAACTAATCTTAAAGCTTATTAAAGGATATTTTAATGTACACCTGGTGGATGCATGCGAAACTTATTTGTGAGGTAATCTAGCAACGGTAAGGGACTTGCTACGTAGTCATGACGTAGCAAGCTCTATCGGAGCAGCGCCGCTCTTCGGAATTTCAACATTTCCCTCCCAGATCGCGCATTGAACCGAAAAGTCCAAGAAGACGGAAAGAAAAGACTCCCCTCTATCTCGGACCCTCGTTCGTGCAGCCCGTTGCTCATAATTTGGACAAAAGTTGCTTTTCCCAGCCCGTTCACCCCTAAGCTGACAGTGCTGTGGACGCTACGTGCACCTTGGGCCAGCCACATGCTCGTCACCCCGCGGGTACTTCGAACGGCTCGGTTGTAACGCGCTGACGCTATTAGCGAGTTTTAGTAGACCGTGTTTCCCCCTCCCTTAAGCCCCTCCGCTACCCGGCACTCTACAGTCAAGGCCATCGGCGCGCAGGCGCAGTGGCGGTTTCTTCGTAGCGGAGGGTTGGCGGAGGGGGAAACACGGTCTACTAAAACTCTCTATTGACACCACCACAACGCTCACAACGCCACCAACGGCAAAGCTCATAACCACTCCATCCTCGCTACGCCACGAACGCGGGAAATTTTTCCTCTGTTTTCGTTTGCGTTGGATATCTCATGACGCATCGCGCTCTCCGTTCGCTTCTCTTGGAGCGCTTGCTCGAGTGCACCGTTTGGAACGAAAAATATAGCCGGTCGTTCAAAATGCAAACGTGCGATTATCATTTTCAGTTATTATCCGTCATGCTTGACTCATTTCCGAACGAAATTTGAATATTTCAATTTTTGTTTCCGTACCCCTTTAAAGCACAACCCATTTTCCGAACCTCGTCTTTTTTCTAACCAAGCTTACGTTTCTTTCCCTTTAATCTGAATCGTACAACTCACTTCCCCTCTAATCTGAATCGTACAACTCCCAGGTGCACTCTAGGATGATCTTGACTTCCTTTTTTTTTTTTTTTTTGCAGCCCAAATACCGGCCTTGTTTCCCGACACCCACTTGTTGTCCCTTATCGGGTCCCGTCACTTGGGAAGGAGTATTCGCTCGAAACGTCTGTGACGCCTTGTTTGTTTGTTTTCTTGAAAATAAAAGACCGCCCTTAGCCATGACCAGGGAAGCTTGGCATCAGTTGATTTATATATATATATTCATATCGTGGGATTTCCGGGTAGTCTCTTCTATTTCGGGTGGTGAGATGGAGGAGCACAAACGTGTTCGATCTGGTTAGGAAGTGGCGGAGAAAAAATCACAACAGCCGTTGGGAATTCTACACGCAGTGGTCGATTGTACCTCGATCAGTGATTATTTTGCACCGCTGCCGTGTTTGGCGGGTTCGACGGAGGAATGTTTCCGCAACATTGCTCTCCAAGTTTTCAAGAGAAGCTTCGTGTTTTATGAAAGATCGTGCGCACGCAGTAGAAAACGAGGCGACCGACAAGTGCTAGAGGGATGGTGAACCTAAATTTGGATTTCAAACAAACAATGCTGGAGATGTAGGCGGGACGCTACAATCCTTAAAACACTACTAGTAAGGCGATATCTCAAATGGACGGCCGTATTTTTTGGAAAAAGAAGTCGAGATTGAACCAGGCCCACGAGGCGCGTGACCGTCAAGATACTTAGTTTCCTCCTCTCTTCGCTTCGCTCCCTCAAGGCCGCGAGGCGGAGAAGACGCGATGCCGTTCCCTCTCCTTCTCGGAGAAACATGACGTCAACATTCCTGCCCCAAATGCACCTCTTTTTTTCTGAAAAATACGGTCATCCGTTCGAGATATCGCTGTATGAGTGATGTTTTGGTGTTTGTAACATCCCGTTGCACGCTTTTGCCGCGTGTTTTGGGGAATCCAGTTTTCGGTTCAGCATCCATTTAAAGTGGCGTTAAAAAAAAATCTACAAAGCTGATAGCAAGGTGTGACTTATATTAATATTGACGTAACATTTGCATGACTTTTATTGCGTCCGTCCCAATTCGCTTTACCATGCAGAGAAATGCGGAATGAGAATTGACCGATTGTAAACTCGCAGCATGACTGGATATAGACTTTTTCCGCAAGGGCGCCGCCATCTTGAATTGTCGTCACTTCCAGTATGGGCGAAAACACTGTTTTGCCGTCGCCTCGCCAGTAGAAGGCATTTAGGATATAAACGTAACCGTCACACATTCACGTTTTGCCTCCCCTCTATTTTTTTACTATTTCCAAGTTGAAACGTTCTGATATTTTTTCGTCGCCCATACCGGATATGACTACTTGGCGGTCGGGGGCGAGAGTAAGCGGAAAAGGTCCATACAGAAGTACTAGACGCGTGCGGTTGTATTTGTGTATACCTTATGGTGGTCGCGCTTATTTTAAAGTTCTTTATGGATCATCACCAGGTATCTGTTACGTTAAAAGTGTGAAAAACTAAAGTCGCCTGTAATTTTTCCAAATAAGGAACTATACGTTCCTTATCATATAGTAGATTTACTCGGATACTGCACTCTTGGGTAGTAACACGTTACTGTAATTTCGTTACTTTTTTGGTAACTTGGAACTGTAACGAGTTACTTTTTTAATATGTAACTTGTAACTGTAGTTCTATTAGTTTTTTCTGAGGTAACGATGAAAGTAACGACGTTACTTTGGCCGTTACTTTCCAGTGTTTTATGAATAATAAATATATTGCTGATCAAGTACCCCCCTCCCCCCCCCCCCCCTCCCCCCCCCCAGTTTAGATTTTCCTTCCACTTTTCAAATCGTCTATTCCGACATTTCGAGTGTCAAGTTGGCCTTGCACAAACTTGTGAATACGTTCTTTCTCACGGGTCACGACCCGAATATAGCCACGTGTAGATTTCATGAAAACATCCTAGTTATCTTTACGCACGCGATTGTACTTCGTGACTGAACTATTACATCTTAGTGTCTTGAAGAACTATCTATGTTGTGTTTTTTCTTTTTTTCTGTGAAAACACTTTTTAATCGGGTGAATCAACCGTGAAACAACAATACACGCGGAGGGCACTGCGCATGTTTTGTATTTTGATTAGCGCCAGTACTCCACACTGCGCATGTTTCGTATTTTGATTTGCGCCACTACTCTGGCGTAAAAATTTTCAAACACTAATTTCGAGAAGCAACTTCTGCTAAGTTACAATATGAAGTAAAAAGCGTACTGTCTAATTTTATGCAATAAAACTTGGTGAGGGGCGTTTTCTAGTTTTTCCTATTTTTTGTTTTATAGAAAAGTAACTGAAAAGTAACGTCGTCACTTTTTAAAAGTAACTGTAACTGTAACGAGTTACTCTTTTGTTGCGGTAACTGTAACGGTAACTTCGCTACTTTTTTCTGAAATTAACTGTAACTGTAACGAGTTACTTTTTAAAAGTAACTTACCCAAGACTGGGATACTGCCTTAAATCATGATCTAGTTCCAGGAGCTATTCATGGTGAAAATCCAATAGGCAGAACCAAACACGTTAATGCTGATTATTAATAAAATCTTAATTTTGAAAATAACCAGATTCACTACCGTAAACAACACAATGCCTTCAAAAAAAAAAAAAAATCTATGCTAATTTAAAGGTAAGGAAGGTTCCTTTTGAATGTTTCCTCGTATTTTTTTCTAAAATAACGAGGAAATAACGGCGTTACTTCAGCGAAGTAATAGCAACTGTAACAAGTTACTCTTTTAATTTTGTAACTGTAAGTGTAACAAGTTACTCCCTCCATTTCGTAACTGTAACTGAATTACTTTTTTTTTTTGCCTGAGGAACTGTAACAGTAACACTGTTAGATCTTAGCAGTAACGTGCCCATAACGGGTCCAAGCTTATGCGGACAGGCCTATGCGGTTCAAAGTAGCAGGTACACCGTGGATGATAGAACCTAGATGGAGCCTTGAATCAGGAAGACAGTGCAGGAAAGCTGGGGAAACTTTCCCCATTATCCAGTCCCTGGCTACAATTCGGGTTTAACTGGGAGCACTTTATTCCTATACTTAGGTGTCACGCTTTCGTCTTCCGTGTTGCCATTAGACAGGCGAGAGTCAAACAGTTCTTTCGGACGCGTTACCTCCAATCCAGCGTTCACTCAGCCTCGCTATGGAGGAGGTGTTGGCTGAGCCAACATCTGGGCCTCCTGTGCGCTGGAAGGACTATGTTTATGTGTTACCCAACAGGCTAGAGAAATACATTCGCTCACGAACATACGAGGCAGATTTGCCTAGTAAGTTCCGTTTTTCGGTACAAGAAACCATGGCACGGGAAATGCATCATTTTAAATTAATCGTAGCTTGAAGTACATTGCCACGTAATTCGGTTCGACTCTGTCATATCGTGGCACAAGTGTTTGAATATCTTCTTCGTAGAAAGTGTGCCACCTGCGTCTTAGGCCAACGTCTTTGGAATCTAATGCAAAAACAGTTTGTGCAGCAGGGGCGATTTGTATTAATTTTGCGGAGGGATAATTTCAAAGCGTGAGAAGTGCCGTGTTACCGAGAGGGCGTGGAAAGAATGCTTGGAGCCGAGAGGAAGTTGAAACATGCTCTTATGACGCTCATACACCAACTCTCCTCTCCCTACGCGCGTGTTCTCAATAAGATGCTTTGCTACACGATGTTACGGGTAGGGCTGAGCATAGTGGAGAGTAGCCAATTTTCTTTGGTCAAATGTTTAGGTCCTTAGCACGACTTAAAGAAACAAAAGCGTGCATCAGCCTTACGAAGGGAATTTTGGAATTACACTAAAGTAGAGGGCAAATAGTAAGTAATATAATAAGAAAATGAGTAAGCGGCTGTTATTATTAATGTTTAACACGCTATTCCTTCGCTCCTGCATATCACTAGTTGTCTATTATAGTTTATTTTACGTATGTCTTTCTTTATGAGGCAATCTCTCATTGTGTGAGTTCCTATGATTGCTAGATATATGTGCAAATGTATATCTCAACCCATTATTTTTATATGATAAATATATAATCATTGTTCATACGTCCTGGCATTCTTTGAGTTTTAAGTAGCAAGTCTCAGAATAAGGAAACGAATTCTTAATTGAATCAAATAAACATCGAGTTCAAATCGTCAGTTATCCAGAAGTTTTAATTAATTTCTTCCACTGAATCGTTCATGACTAGAGACGGTGGCTGTCCAGCAATGCATCATTAACGCTCTGTCGGCCTTCGATATACGTTCGAAGCCGTTTTTCCACCAATGCTCCGCTCATTGCGGCTGGTCTATAAATGTCGCAAATTTGACGATGGATCTTTCACGGTCCGCATGGTCTGATATTTATCGCTTTCAAAAATCTCATCACACACCAGACGTCGAAATCGGCGGGCCGTTCTAGTCACTCAGACAGAGTTAATGTAAAGCACTACCCGTAAAAAATGATCACGGTTTAACAAAATGGCGTGAATGTGTGACTAATGATTGAACAAAACTGCTCGTGTGCCACTCAGAAGTGATTGCTCTCCTGTACCAAATGTAATTATCTTCAGTATGCACATCGTATTATTATATTATTTGATTATTCCTGGACATTTCGGTGGTCATTTACTCCAAAAGTGTCAAATTTTTGGACTCATTTTACACACACTCCCAGCCCCAAATAACGCCGAAAACACATGACTCAACAATTGCACTCCCTGTCAAAGTGGAGCTTTAGTAAAGCGTGCAGCTTCCTCCGCAGCGCCTAAAGTATTGCTAAAGACACGGTACCCTATTTATAGAGGACCCCCCCCCCCCCCCTAACAGTGTCATACGACGTCACGTCACGTCACTTCATCATGCGACGACGTCATCACGCGGTCATGTGGCACTACGTTACGTGGCATGTAATGCTTTCTAACTAAATGTAAGCGTTCCTCGCATTATTCGCCCCGTTTTTGTTTGGCAAAAAGCTGAGTGGCGCCGTCTGTCGAGTACACTTGCCACACTTCCGGTTCGCATATATTTCTTAATTTTTTACGCATCCTTATTTCACCGTAAGAGTGAATTACATCTGACTGCTCAACGAGAACATTTCTCGAGGGTCTGATCTGACCAACACTTCAAACCCACCATCTAATTCAGAACCGGAAATGCTTAAAAAAAAACATTAAACCTACACACAACAAAAAAAAAGTTGTTTTTTTTTTCTGTTTTTTTTTTTTTCTGCTACCTGGTTAGGAAAAACATTTCGCGAAATAATGTTCGTCGAAAAAAAAAAAAACATTTGGGGGCACTATTTATGTTACAATCCATATTTCTTGATTTGCGGGTGAAACCGTACTTGTACCCCTGTGGGATGATGATGATAACGTTTGTATCCAACTACTGTGCGCTCTGGGGTCCAGCGAACTCAGAGCGCACGCTCGTTGGGTACAAACACTATCCCCATCATCACCATCACGCAGGTGTACAATTTCGGTTTTGTCCGCAAATCGAAAAATTTTTTTTTTGTTGTTGTTGTAGCACACAGATTTGGGGAAAAAATGTTTCGACAATTTTTTTTTTTTTTTTAGACATGCTTGTTTTAACCAGGAAGGAAAATAATGTTCATAGGTTCAGTGTTTTCTTTAGTGCTATTTGCACACTGACGCCACCAGGCTTCAAAACACACGAGAAAGAGTGAATGGAACTTTGGAGATAAAGGTGGCTATATATAAATTTTTGTAACAGCTCTGCGCTCGCCAAGTGTCGTGAACGTACCTGCAGGCCCGGGTCCCCGACGAAGATGCCCATCTTCTCTGTCGGGGTGACGTACCGCTTGGGCCCCGAGTTTTCCGGGATGGAGGCGTTGTACACGGGTCGAGTGAAGGCCAGGCGGCGGCCGCCGCCGCCGCCGGACTCCGGGGACGCCAGCCCCGCCCTGGCGGTCAGAAGCAGCAGCAGCAGCCAGGCGCCGACGGCCGGCCATGGCCGCCCGCGCTGCACCATGGCGCTAGGCTCGAGTCGTCATCTCCACCGTCTCATCGCCGCCGCCTGCACACGGGGAAAAAAAAAAAAAAACACGCAGGGACTCGTCAGTTGACTTAGACACCGTGACTTGAGTCTAGGACAATTCGTCGAAAGCGCATTCGTCGAGGGCAAAGTGGCAAAACCCTTTTCAAGAGTCCATCAAGCTTGCGCCATCGCTAGGTGGCGCAAGCTATCCCCCCTTTACAAAGGATATAGCCATTAACAACCATCCATCCATTGGGCACGTAGCGTGTGATTGGATACGAGTACTCGCCGAACACTGACGCAGGCCTCCTGCTCAGAAATGGCGGACAGTCGTTGGCGCGGACTTCTCAAAAAGGGTCTATTCGCATTAAGCCGATCCCTAGAACGGCTAATATGTGGAAGGTGTCCGTTTGCAGACACGATATTTTCGTCAAAAGATGCGATGCATTGTGGTTGCGCGCTTTTCGGAACGACGCTTGACTTTACACACACGTGCGTGCTTGGCAGGGACGCTGAAAGCCCGGAGTTCGCTCTTGTAACTCTTCTGTCTGGCCCAGAACCGATAGTCTGTTTGGCCGAAATAAATGTTCGCAAAATAAAATTGATGCTTGCCGAAATGTTCAATGGAACACAATCTACCAGGACACGGGAAAAAAACAGGCGGTACCAAGTCCCTTCGTGTGATGACGACCTAAAACACGAAAGAGTTTCCATGTGCAATGTCTTCTCCAATGCGTACTTAATAACAAAAATAACGCAATGCATGAAGCACAGCTTTCATGACCACTAATAACTAAAAAAAAAACACATTGATTTGAAGAATTGTTTTACGATTATTGCGCGAGGAGTGAATGCAGGCCTGCTGCTCCAGGAATCATCATTGTGAGTTATAGATTCGATATTTCCAGCGATGGCGGTATAGCGGTGTATGGCAATACCAAATTCGTGGATAACCGACTTCACAATAAAGGTGCTTGCTTTCACCCATTAGAGATAAAAAATATGATATAACGCTATAAATAATCCTTGTATTAAAAAAAAAGAAAGAAAAATTAAATATATCTTTTTCTAAAGTGTGCGCCCTTCAGTGACTGCTGCGTCGAATATCCGAGGCCGCCGAATTTCGGGCATTGACATCGAGCATGCGTTGGAAAAGAATCAAGCGTCAGTGCTCGGCGCGTATACACCAACTCATCTCTGTTACGTCACGGCGCGGTGGTGGCGCGTCGGTCGCACTTCCGGTCTGGGGCTGTGGGCAGAGGTCCCCATGCCAGACGTGTATTCCTGCGTTGTTTTGAAAGGAACCAGACAAAAACCTGTCTTCTTGTCAAAACGCCGCGACTGGGGCCGTGCCAAAAGTGTCGAGAAAGGTTTGAAGGTCAGTTTTCACGTGCTTGGTTCGTCCGAGAATCTGGATATGTGCCGTGAAAAGGGAAAAGCAGACGCCGTCGGACCACGATTGTTTGGGCTGGAAGCACTTCGGGTTGACTTCACGGATACTTGTTGTCATCAGATTTACTTGTTTTGTTCCAACATGAACGCCAGAAAACCGTCAATTTGTGCGGACCACCTGCGGACTACGTTCAGTGCGCCTTCAAGTTCAAACGGTTGCCTGATCGTTCGAACTGTCGTCTGCTCTTTCAAGCGTTTCTGCTTGTCGTCTGCTCTCTTAGACGACGCCGGTCCGTAGACCAAATCGTGGCTCGGTACTTGCGATAAGAAGTAAGTGCAGGCCTCAAAAGACTTAAATTCGAAGGCTGGTAAGCAGGCTCGATGTAAACAGTAGATAAAAAAGGTGTTAATCATTGTTACCAGTGACCATCACCGACTTGTTAACCCTAATTCACTTGGTCCGATTCTGCTTGCGATTTTCAGTATCGACGTCGACTATCTCAGCTACGGTTCACGCTTTTGCAGCCCGAGCGGCGTCGTGACTGAAAATTGCGAGCGAAATCGCATCATGCGAATCAGGCTTTAGCGTACATACTGCGGCGTCCACGCGGAATGAGGCGTCACATGTCAGATTATTCACGCGAAGCTTTGCGGTGTAACGAGCCTCGGTAATTTCGCTGACGCCGCTCAAGTAGTCAGACATCGCCAGGAAGACGTAGAATCAACAATTCGAACGCGAAAAAGGGCAAGGGGACTCACACCGACGCCGACAACATCACATTCCAATGGTTTGTTTATGGGCGACGGTGAGCTTTTTGCCCACACCCCCATCGCGCATGCGCGGCGCCGGTGGCGTCCGCCAGGGGCGCTCCGGTTTGTTTGTAAACATGAGTTGGTGTATACTGGAGTCAAACTGTATTCAACGCGAGTGCGGCGTCGGTGCTCGGCGTGAGCTAGGATTCAATATCACACGTTTTGCTGAGGAACCGATGCCCCTAAAAGCATGGCGTCCGCCAGTGTTGCCTGACGGATTTCTGGAAAAGGGTCTCTTTGGCGTGAGATATCGCTCTCGTACACAAACAAAATGCGAAGGAAGGTATGGTTAACTGCATCGCGAACACTACAGACAACTATACGATGGGACATGACTGAAAAGACTACGCGTCTGAATGCCAAACGACCTTGCACATCCCACCACTGATCTCTACTATGGATGGCGGTTAACCGCTCTCTGGGCCGTGCGTGAGTGAAGTCGAGTTAACTGCATCGAGTCAATGTTTGGGTCCACGCTTTCTTGCGTTTTTAAGTGGGTTTTAATAGCCCCGTCTACCATCAAATCCCGAGAATGAGGAATTTTAACGTGGGACATGTCCAGGTGATCAAGTAGGACCTCGAACTTGTCACACATCAAACTGCCTCACAGAAGACTTCACGGGACTCCGTGCGTTTAATGCGCAACAAGCAAACACCTTTGAGATCAGGCAAAAAAAAAAAAAAAAAAGAGATGAAGAATGCACGCCTTGGACACTTTTTGGAACAGCACTCGGGAGAGTTTAAGAGTCAGTCAAACGCTCACTTCCGGGACAGTCCGCTTACTTCCGGTGGCTTCATACCTGTTCTTTCAATGAGCCGTCCAGGCCCCTGTTGGAGATTAGTGCATCTAACGAGACGACAGATAGGATAGTGTGCATTCCGGCACTTTGGGTATTTAGGCACGCTGGACATTCCGAAACGATTTGATCGCGTCTTAATGGATATTCAGTCTCGTTAGACATTCAGGCCGCAAGCAGACTGGGAACCGCAGCCCGCTGGCGGCTGCGGCCGCAGCACACTGGTAAGGCGCGGCAGTCGTCATGAGCAACCTCGGGACGGGGGCCCTAGGAAGAAGCCGGGAGTGTTCGCGATCGTGCGCGGAAACCCTGATTCCGAGTCCCCGGACGCGCCATCGACCGTGCCCCCGTCGCCCTCGCGCATTTCCATATGTCCGGACATTCAGCGACGCTCTCCAGTTCTTTTGCTCGGAGTCGCGGGCGGCTCCGACATTGGGGACGGGTCGGAGCCGCGGTCTGGACACTTTTTGGAACGGGGGTGGACTTATATTTATTCCCGGGAGTCGCTTTCGTATGCCAGTTCCTCCGGCGCGCGAGACGTGGTGTGACTCGCTGATGTCCGCGTGCTGCCCCCTCCCCCCCCCCCCCCCCTCCCCCGCCTTTTTTTCCCCCCATTTCCCCGGTTGACTTGGTTTGAGTAGTGTGCCCATCTCAGAGTGCTGCTAACCACTCGATTGGGGTCACGTGGTTCATCGGCAGCGGTCAGATTAGACCATATTCAAAACCCCATCAAGCAACATTGGTGGTTGACCTTCCTTGGCTAGGTGGCGCAAGCTACCACCCGTTACAAATGGTACAGCCGTTTGAATCCATTGATCCATCCATGGACGCGGAGCGTGTGATTGGCTCGCCGACCGCTAACGCAGTCCTCGTGGCCAATACATGCTGAGAGGTTCGTGCCCGAACAATGGCGGTCGCGGATAATTGGAGCAGTGGCTACTAGATGGCGAGCGCGCACAAAAAATGGTCTCAACAAGCTGCGAGGAGGTGACGACAACAGCGACGATTGTCTGCAAGGGTCTCCACCTCTCCACACGCTCTCCTCCTCGACACGTGACCAATCACTTGGTCACGGGGTCGCTTCTTGCGGCCAATCTCCGTTCTTTTATTAGATTACTAACGCTCTCCGGTGGTTCCAGTTGCTCCCTCTCTGAAATCTAGGGCCAGGGCTTGGGCTGCGGGTCGCTTGATTCCTTGGTCGGCCGGGTCTCGCTTCCTGGCGGTTCTTTCTGATGCGTGGAGAGCGGGAGAGCTCTGATTGCCTTCGCGCTCCCTGGTTTACTCTGCCGCGCGCCTTTGAGCGGCACCAGACGGGAAGGGAAGGGACGTCATTTTGTTTCGTCTGCTACCGAGGGAGGGACGACCTGACGCGGGTTTCCTTTCTGTTTAATTCCGCGTGTTTCTTTTCGTGCGTTTTTGTTTTTGTGTTTGTTTCTAGTTTTGAAGGTGGGGGTTGTTTTAAGGAAGAATGTCGGTCTTCGTGTCCAAACTAACAGGCTTCGAAATGGATGGAGTCTCATTTACATGTCGCGGGCGTTTTTCCAGGACACTGCGCGGGTTTCATTACTGCAGCGCTCGGTCCGCCGAGTCTGGCACCCTGAGTATCTCATGTACCCTCGTAAAAGAAAAAAAGAAAATAAAGAAAGAAGTTAACTGCTTGAGAGATTAAAAAAAAAAAAATAGGATGTGAGCAAAGCGACCCGCGCATTCGCGAGTGCTCGTATTGTGTTTGCTGCATCAGAGACGCCTAACCTAGTCGGAAGAGGCAAAAACACCGACAAGCTTTTCACATTTCGTGTTTGGAGAGGAAGCTTTGCTCGGCAATCTTTGAACGCAGAATCACGTAGCGAACCGTTATTTTCGTGTCTTACAGCCCCGCGCGGATAATTTACTCGGCAACAAAAGAGTTCCCATTCGGCGAGACGAGAAAACAGCAACAGCTACTTGAAGGCACTTACCATATATAAACGAACCTCGTTAGCAAATTCTTGCTTTCGTTTTGGCGTGACGAACTGGACTGATATTAAATTATCTAAT